CAAAACCTATTGGAAAGTAACTGCCTTTATTACACAGCATCACAAGCCAGCACTATCCTAAACAATGCTAAAGTCTATCATACTTAACTACAACATCAGGTCCTTAAGCAAACACTATGATGACCTCCTGGCACTCCTTGAATCACTAAAGACGCCCTTCTCCTGCATTATTCTTACTGAGCCCTTTGGCTTAAGCAGGACACAATAGATATCTACCCTCTACCAGGATACACAGCAATTCACAACTGCAGACCAAACCAAGTTGGGGGTGGTACTGCAATCTATTACTCTAACCAATTATCTTGTATTAGCACCACTTGCTTTAGTGATGAATATGGGGAATACATTTTTGCTAATTTTACTGTAAAAAACCTTAAGACACCTATAACAATCGGTGCCGTTTACCGGATACCTCACACAAACATCCCAAATTTCAGTGAGAAATTAAAGTCACTAATAACAAACAGACAAATGAATAAGCACCACCTTCTCTTAGCTGGAGACTTCAACATCAACCTTGGCTTACTAGATGATCAGCCTGTAACTGATTTCATCAACAATATGAACAACGCACTTCTCATACCAACAATAACTAAACCATCCAGGCTCACTGAGACAAGTGCAACCATAATAGACCACATATGGACCAATATACTAGCCCCCCTTAAATCAGGGATAATCACAGATAGCACTACAGACCACTACCCTACCTTCCTCCTGACAAACATTAATAAACCACCACTTGAATACAACAAAGTCTCATTTAGACTCCATGACGAGGCCTCAATAAGGAAGTTCACAGCTGACCTAGGATTGTTGACTGGCCCTACAGAATTCTCCAAGGCCAATGGTATTGATGACTGGACAGACATTTTTCTTAACAAATTACTTAGACTATACAACAACATTGTCCTATAAAAACGAAACAGATCACAAACAAACGGTTTGGTGCCCATGGCTAACCATGCACCATTCTGAAATCCATTGACAAGAAACACCAATATGAAAAGCAATATAGACAGGGCTTAATACACAAAGATATTCTTAAACACTATTCATCAGTTCTCACCAAAGTAATAAAGAAAGCCAAACAACTATACTACTCCAGTAGATTCACAGACACTAGAGGAGATATAAAAAAGACCTGGAAAACACTCTCTCAGATTCTAGGGACCCACAAACTGAAAAAAACAAGAATATTGTCCTAACTAAACCTAATGAAACACCACTACATCCCACTGACACAGCTAACAAGATAAACGACTTCTCAACCATAGGATCTAATCTCGCCAACAAAATCCCACATACCAATGCCCATGCCGGGGACTACCTAGATGGGAATTTCCCAAATTCCTTCTATCTTGCACCAACTGAGCCCTCGGAAGTCACCGAGATTATAAAGTCACTTAAAAACAACTCGGGGAATCTGTCTAATGTCCCACCATTACTGTACAAGCGAGCGGCCCATTTCCTTTCGCATGCTATTTCATTACTTTTTAACAAGTCACTAGAAACTAGCACCTTCCCGAAACTACTCAAGATGGCAAGGGTTACACCAATACATAAAGGTGGTGACCCTACAGACTTAAACAACTATAGGCCAATATCAAACTTACCATTGCTATCCAAAATCTTTGAGACTCGTGCACAGGAGACTATATTCATTTATAACAGCACAAAACATACTCAACCCCTGCCAATTTGGATTTAGGAAAAATAAAAGCACTAATGATGCAATCATAAAAATGCTAGATCTGCTTTACACAGCATTGGAAAATAAGGAATATCCACTAGGAATTTTTATTGACCTAAGAAAAGCTTTTGACACAGTAGACCACGACATCCTACTCCACAAACTTGACCATTTTCGGTATAAGAGGCCATGCGCTTGCTTATTTCAAATCTTACCTTACTAATAGGTATCAGTATGTTACCATTAAAGACACAGCATCAACAACACAGCCACTTGATACTGGAGTTCCGCAGGGAAGTGTCCTTGGTCCCCTGCTCTTCCTCATATACATCAATGATCTTCCAAACGTATCCCAACACCTGAAACCCATTCTCTTTGCTGACGACACGACTTATGTCATCTCTCACCCTAATCTTGCCACCCTCAACACCATTGTTAACGAGAAGCTGATCAAAATCGACTTGGATGACAGCCAATAAAACTTACGCTTAACACTGACAAAACCTACTATATTATGTTTGGTAGCAGAGCAGGAGATGCACAAATTAACATTAAGATCGACAACACTCTAATTACCAGACATAATGAGGGCAAATTCCTAGGGCCCATACCTTGACAACAACCTGAATTTCAGCACCCATATCCAACACATAACCAAAAAAGTATCCAAAACAGTTGGGATCCTCTCCAAGATACGATACTACGTGCCGCAAAATGCCCTTCTCACACTATACCACTCACTTATTTATCCATACCTCACCTATGCTATTTGTGCTTGGGGATCAACTGCAGCAACACACCTAAAGCCAATAATAAAACCCCAAAAAAATCTGCAGTAAGAATAATCACTAAATCCCATCCCTGGCAACCCCCCCCCCCCCCCAACTCTTCATAGATCTAACTTACTCTCTGTTCAGTACATCCACACTTACTACTGTGCAATCTACATCTACAGGCCCTTAAACTCCAATATCAACCTTGACCTAAAACGCTTTCTTGATAGTTGTGACAGAACCCACAGGCATAACACCAGACACAGACATCTCTACGACATTCCCCGTGTCCGACTAAACCTTTACAAAAATTCAATGTATGTCAAAGGCCCTAAAATCTGGGAAAACCCTACCTGAGAACTCTAGAACTGCAGACACATTCATCACCTTCAAAACTACCATTAGAAAACATCTTATCTCCCTGATACACCCCATCAACTAACTACACGAATACCACCTGGTGGTTCACACTTACACTCACTCACCCATTTGACCATAAACAGAAATATTAATCTCTATCTTAAAATAATGAATCCTATGATACTCCAATACTGAAACTATGTACTGTGCCAAAACAAAAGCATTCACATTGCTAAACTCACAAACTAGTATTTAGTCACTTAGCCATAATACCAACTTACCTCATAATTTGTAATATTTTAAAATAAAGAATTAAACTAAGTCTGCCCGAAATGCCTAGCCATGCTAGGCGTTCTAGTGGTACACTCTGTAATCATTATTTAACTACATGTAAACCACACAACAACCAAATTCTGTAAATTCAACATTGTAATCTTTATAGAGAATAAACTTTGAATTGAAAGTGAATAAAATATGTAATTCATGTAGTGGTATGGGCGGTGTCGGTGGTGGACGAGAGTTTGTCTGGAGACCAGACAAAATACTTCTTGAATAATTTCGCTAATATCTATACGGCTTATTTATATATCACTGTTCATCTAATATGACATAATAAACAATATAAATAGAAACCTGATATATATACTCTAGAATGGATAAAACGTCATTATATATGTGGCGGCGGCGGCTGACGAGTGTTTGTCTGGTGACATGACAAAATACTTCTTGAATATTTTGCTAATATTATCTATACAGCTTATTTATCTGTCACAGTTCATCTAATATGACATAATAAACAATAATTGTATAAATAATGTCAACCCATTCAATACTGCATATTGGAATGGACAGTGACGTCATTTGTTTACTCTTGAACATAGCCAAAACAATCGAACATGTCTCCTGTGTTGAGCTCAATTTCAAGGTACTTTTCATCGTGAAAGCAATCAAAATCATATCTATTTCTGTAATATGTCTTCCATTCTATCAAATGAGACCAAAAAAACGAGAATACAACCATAAAACCATGTGAAAATACCGCTAACGGGTGGCTAATTGCTGAGAAGTGAACTCCATTATTTATGCTTAGATTTCTTTCATTTTTGGTGTACATTAAGAAGCATCTTTCCATCATACATTGCCCAGGTTTCAATAAGATAGTCCAACAAACAAATGAGATACAGTTCCCCACATCAAGAGCCCTTCACCAGCGTCAAGGAACCTGCCTTGAGATCTGCTCGCTTATGGAAATTTTGCTTGCGTATGGAAACAAAAAATCAACCAATCGACTGCTTGTATTTGGAAAAACTCGCATGTGGATGTACTCGCGAGTAGAGGTTCCACTGTATATGTATTTATACACAACAGAGTTCAGTTACCACCTGTACAGTGGTTTGTTTGCACGAGTACATTTCTATAAATTGTGAACCATTAAGACAAGTCAGATATAGTAATACGTACATGAAATAAGATCACAGTAAACAAGTGATACATGTATTACAATATGCAGAATATCCACTGAAAAAAATAGTGAAATTCCAAGTGCTTTTATGATTTCTTATATTATCAAGGAACTATAATAATAAAAGACTAACAGGAAGGCATATAAATATACATACATCCTGAATATCAGAGTTGTATACAATTCCGACAAGTTGGTAAGCAAGACATATGCAACATCTTCAAGGGTGATGGACTGATTACATCATCTTAACATCTCTATTGCTCCTGCCTACTTTCTGTACTTGACTGAAGAAGCCTACTATGTAGGCAAAACATTTCAGAATAAAGATGCTTAAGTGTTGCCTATGTGTCTTACTTACCAAATATGCTTCCTGTTAATTTTTTTTTATAGTTCTTGATAATGTGAGAAATCATGAAAGTGCTTGGAATTTTGCTATTTTTTTCACAGTGGTTATTTTGCATAGTAATACATATGTATCATAGCCAGTATCCCCCTACTATATTATTCTCTTCAAAAATAGCATTGAATTTTTTTTTTTTTCATGTAGCTTAAAGTACTGTATGTACTATATGCTTACGAAGGGTAAATGTAAAACCTTATGCCATTAGAAGGTATATTAATGGGTGATAATTTAAGTTTTCAAATAAACTTTATGCTCTTCAGTATAAACATAAAAAAGTTATTCAGTTATATTTTTCTTGTTAAACAGCTCAGGATCTCTACCCCGGAGTGAATTACAAACCTAATGTGGTTCACCACTTTCTTCGATTGTTATATGAAGAAGAAAAACTACAAATGGTGTACACACAAAACATCGATGGTTTGGAGAGATGTAAGTACTTTGTTGCTGGTATTTTCAGAAATAATTTAGAGTTAAGAGACTATGTCCTGCCAGTCTGTATATCATGGTTTTGCTATATATGATACCCTGTACACAGGGTATCATATATAGCAGCATCTTACCTTTGGTTTAGTGCTCCCTATAACTTGAATAGAATAGAAATGAAAAAAAAAAAATTTGTTCAATTGGGCAAGCATTAGGTTTAAAGGCTTTAAGTAAATTGTATTGCATTGAGAATACATACAAATGGATGAGGGGGTGGTATTTCCTTGGTCTACCCCATTTATATATAGAATGGGAAATACTGATGATAGTGGTAAGATTTATTGATTTTTTTTTTTTTTTTTTATTAAATGCAGCTGGTTTCTCTTAATTATCTCCTCCAGTGGCAGGGATACCAGATACAAAGCTTATGGAAGCTCATGGTACTTTCGCTACAGCCTCATGCACACTCTGTGGCAAGATGCATAATTCTAATAAAGTTAAACAAGCCATCATCGAAGGAGATATTCCAATGTGTGAAGCCACCAATTGTAAGGTGAGAGTATTATTGTGGAAGATGCTGACCAGTAAAGACTTCAGATAGGGAGGATTGTGTGCTCATATAACTTGGTTTTGTGTAGTTGAAGATTTTTTTTTTTTTCCCAAAAAATGCATACACTAGTGTTAGTTTTTAAAAGCCCATAGGATGCACAGTAATTTGAACAGACTTGAATCTATTTGGTGAATTTAAAAATACTTCCATATGCAGTATATATACTGTAAATATATGTTTACAGTATTTTCAATGAAGAGCTTTGGAGTGATATATTAGATGGTAGTACTTACAAACTACTTGTATGTTACATATATTTATTTTTCTTCCTGTGTGTTTCTGAATAGTTGTTATTCCTGTAATATTTCTTTTGCAGTTTTGATGGCCTGTTATGTGACCAGGCCACTGAGTTGATAAATCCCTGGAAGCATTAACAGTTATAACTGCAAAATTACTATTCTAAGGCTTCTGCTTTAACCCTTTGAGGGTTTTGGTCGTACTAGTACGTCTTACGCGTAGGGGTTTTTGACGTACTAGTACGCATAAATTCTAGCGGCCTCAAATCTAGTGGGAGAAAGCTGGTAGGCCTTCATATGAAAGAATGGGTCTATGTGGTCAGTGTGCACAGTCTAAAAAAAATCCTGCAGCACACAGTGCATAATGAGAAAAAAAAAACTTTGACCATTTTTTTGGAATAAATCAGCGACTTTGCAGTGTATTTTCGTATGGTATTTATTGTTGTATTCTAGTTTTCTTGGTCTCATTTTATAGAATTGAAGACATATTACAGAAATTGAGATGATTTTGACTGGTTTTACAATGAAAGGTGCCTTGAAATTGAGCTCAAAGTAGCAGAAATGTTCGATTTTTACCAAACTTCAAAAGTAAACAAATCGTGCCAAGCGTGCAATACACGTCAACTGGTGAGTCTAATATTCTTTCACAAGTGCACCAATAATATTTATACCATTTTTTACACTAATGCAGTAGTCTGCATAACAGTAAATCTTAAATTTTTTTTGAGAATAAAAATTCAAAGTGGAAAGCAAAAGAATATAAGAGGGGCCTTGAGACGTGACTAATGACTAGAGGAAATGTCATTTTAGTGCCAGGAATGTCTTGTTTATTCTGGGCCCTATTCGGAAATTGGCATCTTTTGAAATTTGTGTGAAATTGGCAAAATTGCTAAATTCTGACCACTGTACTGGATAGTTGAATTTCATAAATGGGTGGTTTCTTGCACCCATTCGATAGAAAAAATGGAGTTCTAGCGAAATATTCATGTTTTTTGTCGACTAGTACAGTGAAATTGGCCGAAAATGGGGCTCAAATTGGGCAAAATCGCCGATGCGTAAACATCGCCGAGACCGCTAACTTTGCGAGAGCATAATTCCGTAAGTTTTCTATAAAATTTCAAACTTTTGGTGTCTTTATGGTCGGGAAAAGATTCTCTATCTTTTCATAAGAGAAAATAATTTTTTTTTTTTTAAATTTGGCCGACCCTGAGAACGAGTTTCGGAGAGGGCCTGTCGACCCTCAAAGGGATAATTAATCTGGGGGTTTACTGACTTGATAGTTTAGATGGAAGATAGACAAGTATTCCATGGAGTTTGTATAAAAACAGCAATGCTGACCTCATTCACACAGACACTCATATCTCCGATCCCCAACTAAAGACCATTTCATGCTTTTCACCACTGCTCGCATGTTGATGCTTGCTTGCTTGTTGACAGATAAGATAAGATTTCGTTCGGATTTTTAACCCCGGAGGGTTAGCCACCCAGGATAACATAAGAAAGTCAGTGCGTCATCGAGGACTGTCTAACTTATTTCCATTGGTGTCCTTAATCTTGTCCCCCAGGATGCGACCCACACCAGTCGACTAACACCCAGGTACCTATTTGCTGCTAGGTGAACAGGACAACAGGTGTAAGGAAACGTGTCGAAATGTTTCCACCCGCCGGGAATCGAACCTGGGCCCTCCGTGTGTGAAGCGGGAGCTCTAGCCACCAGGCCACCAGCATTATTAGAATCTCAGGAAATACAGGCATATAGTGATGTATATTATTATGGCTGTGTTTGAGGGCAATGCTTGGTGTGAATATTATCCAGAGAATTCACAGCTTGGAGATTAGAAAAAAGATGAGGGGATGTTAAGGCAGTTTGGACATTTAGAGAGGATGGAGCAAAACGGGATGGCTAGGAGGTCATAGAAATCTGGGGTGGAGGGAAACAGAGGTAGGGATCATCCCAGAAAGGATTGGAGGGAGGGGGTATACCTGGAAGGCATACTGAAGGTCAATACCCCAGTGGCCCAGTCCACGACCAGGCCTCGCAGTGGATCAGGGCCTGATCAACCAGGCTGTTACTGCTGGCTGCATTCAGACCAGCATATGAACCACAGCTGGTATTGACTAGGTGTCTGTCCAGTGGGGAATATTTTGAGTGCTTGTATAGCATGTCAAATAGGAGTGAGTAGAAGCAGGTGGTTTTTTGATTTGACGTGTTGTTGGAGTGTGAGCTGGATAACATTTATGAAGGGATTCAGGGTGACTGGCTAGCTGGACTTGGGTCCTGGAGGTGGGAAGTATGCTGCCCACACTCTGAAGGAGGAGTTGGGATGTTGCAGTTTAGAGGGTCACTTGGGCTGTGATGTCAGTATGCTCCTGGGAAAATGCTGAATGAATAATAGTGAAAGTGTTTCTTCTTTTTCAGATCACCTTACCTCATGGGAGACAACCAGTATGTTAAAAAAAATTATTCATGAAAAACATTAAACCCATAAGGGTCATATAGTGCCTTGAGAATGGGAAGTAATCAGGTATGATCCAAGGGAGGGGAGGGTAACTTCCATTCCTTAGATCAGAGCCCTTCACTAGTCTGAAGGCTATGGAGATACATAAATATTGACAGTATATGGGAGCAAGGTGACATTAGTAAAATTAAGGGAACAGAATTTGGAGGGGAAGAGAAATATACATTATAATACAGTTGAGTGTTATTCATCCAGTCATGAGAAATGAGTGTTCTGCTGGACTATTATTATTATTATAATCAAAAAGAAGCGCTAAGCCACAAGGGCTATACAGCGCTGCAGGGTAGGAAAGGAGCGAGGGTATTGGGCGGCAGAAGGGGGGAGGGGCAATCAGTAGGTTACAGAAAACAGCAGGGCAGGGGATAGTGCAGGGTAGAGGGTAGCAAGAGATCGAGGTAGAAAGGGCTGAAGGTATCATCAGAGTTTGTGAAGTAAGTCAGTTGTTGTCAAAAAGTCAATGAGAGAGTCCAGATGAAAGGTGGGTCCATCAGCGAGAAGGGAAGGCAAAGAGAGAGCAGTGGAGCGAAGACGACGTTGGAGGTAAATTCTGCGTGCTCGTTGATAAAGTGGGCAGTCTAACAGAATGTGGCTGACCAATAATGGAACCTGACAATTCTCACAGAGAGGAGCAGGGCGCCCCTCCATGAGATATCCATGAGTAAGACGAGTATGGCCAATGCGGAGACGGGAGAGAGTAGTCTCTCAACCTCAGCACTGGTGACAAGAATACGGCCAGTAACCTATACTCGGTTTAATAGATTGAAGTTTGTTACCGAGTAGGGTAGACCAACGTTGTTGCCAGTGGGTGTGAAGGTGGGTAGCTATTGCAGCAAAATAGTCCGTAAATGGAACACCTCTATATGAAACTGGTAGGTCATGTACTGCTGACCACGCAGCAGTGTCTGCCTGTTCATTGCCCTGTACATCAACATGACCAGGGACCCAACAAAAAACAATATCTTTATGCTTGGTAGAGATGCGGCGTAGCCAAAGTTGGATACGGAGGACTAAGGGGTGAGGTGTATCAAATTTCTGTATAGCCTGTAAAGCACTTAAGGGAGTCTGAGACAACCACAAATGATGACACAGGCATAGATGCAATACGGATAAGTGCTGCAAGAATGGCATACAATTCAGCAGTAAAGATACTAGCCGAAGATAGTAAATGCCCTTGTACGACGCTGTCTGGAAACACTGCTGCGAATCCTACGCCGTCAGAAGACTTAGAGCCATCTGTGTACACTGCAATGGCATGAGAATGAGAGTGGAAGTGGTCAAGAAAAAGAGAGCGGGAAGCTACCGTAGACAGTTGGGCTTTCGAGCAAGGGAGTGAGAAAGAACAGACTTGAACAGCTGGAACTTCCCAGGGGGGTAGGGAAAAGTGAGATGCTATATGAACATAGAAAGGTGGAAATTGAAGAGAAGACAAGAGAGAAGGGACGGAGGAAACAGGGGCAGCGAACAAATAAAGAATGTCTACTAATATCGGTGACCATTCTATAAATGGAAGGATTGCGGAGATCATGAGAGCGTACATAGTAGCGAAGGCAATGGGCATCACGGTGATCAGATAAGGATGGAAAGTTCACTTCTGCATAGAGGCTCTCAACAGGGGAAGAGCGAAAAGCACCAAGGCATAAACGTAATCCTTGGTGATGAATAGGGTTGAGGCTAGATCGAGTAGCAGGAGAGGCAGCTGAATAGATCTGGTCACCATAGTCAAGTTTCGATAAAATGAGGGTGGAATGTAGGCGAAGGAGAGTTCGACGATCAGCTCCCCATGAAAGATGAGCAAGGGTTTTAAGAAGATTCAGCCGGCTCTGACAAGTTGTCTTCGGAGAGGTAATGTGAGGTTTCCAGGATAACCTACGGTCAAAGAGGAGGCCTAGAAACCTGATTGTATCACGTTCAGGGATACGGGTGCCATAGAGGTATAAAGGATGATTGGAGATTGACAGAGCGTCTAGTGAAAGTAATTTGGCGAGTTTTGGTACTGGAAAATTTAAACCCATGTGTGGTGGCCCAATTGGAAACACGGTCGACCGCATGCTGGAGAGAAACTGTAATGAGGTGACAGTCAGCGCCTGCACAGGCAATAGCGAAGTCTGCTGGACTAGATAGTCCAAATAACAGAAGTGACAGCAGCACCGCACAACATCCTCACAGATGAAAAGTGTTTATGATTAAATGTTGTATAGGAGCCAGTCATTAACTTAAGTGCATCTTATGTAGAGTGTATTTAAACAAGGTGTGACTACAGCTTCAGTTATGTTATACAAGGCATTTATGTGCCACTGTACTCTTTTTGTCTGCAAATATAATGACAGTCTTTGATGATGATTTAATTGTACATAAAATGTTGCAATATCCACAGGGCAAAGTAAAACCAGATATTGTTTTCTTTGGTGAGAATCTGCCACCTTCATTCTGGGACTACCACCAACACATTCACTTCACAGATCTTCTTCTTATTATTGGAACTTCACTTGAGGTGATTATCTTCTTTTGGTGTTATAAGCTAAGACTGTTTTGTACCTTACCTCTTATCACATTCCATCCATCCATCTTGTTTGCTCCATCCCTCCCTACATCTTACCTACATGCTCTCTTCCTTTCTCTTGATCACTTTCTCCATTCTACTTGCATGATTGTTCAGTACTGTGATCCTTGCAGGTTTAGTGCTTAATTTGATTTTTTTTTTTTTTAACACTCTCCATCTCCCACCGAGGCAGGGCGACCCCCCCCAAAAAAAAAAAAAAATTGCAGAGGCACACAGATATGACAGTTTAGGTATCACTCTAGACCACAGATATCCCAAACCCCTCCTTTAAAGTGCAGGCATTGTACTTCCCACCTCCATGACTCGAGTCCGGCTAACCAGTTTCCCTGAATCTCACACTCTAACAGCTCATCAAGTCTTAAAAACCAACTGTCTCCACTCCTGTCTAACATGCTTACACTTGCTTTCTGTATGTCCAAGCCTCTTTCATACAAAACTTCTTTTACCACACCCTCTGTCCTTTCCTAGGATGACCTCTACCCCTCCTTCCCTCCACTACAGATTTATACACTCTCCAAGTCATCCTATTTTGTTCCATCCTTTCTAAATGACCAAACCACCTCAACAACCCCTGAATAATACTTTTATTAACGCCACACCTGATTTCAACAGTACGAATTCTCTTTATAATTAAACCACACACTGCCCTTACATATCTCCACTGCCTTTGGCCTCCATCTCGCTGTAACATTCACAACCCATGCTTCACACCCATATAAGTGTTAGTACCACTGTACTCTCATACATTCCCTTCTGTGCATCCATGGATAACCTTTGTCTCCACAGATACCTAGATGCACCACCCACCTTTTTTCCTCCATCACTTCTATGGTTTACCTCATCCTTCATAAACCCATCTGCTGACAAGTCTGTTCCCAAATATCTGGATACATTCACCAATTTTTCTTTGCCCAACTCATTTGATACCCTCATCACCTTACTCTTAACTGTGTTCACTTTCAACTTTCTTCCTTTACACACCCTCCCAAATTCACTTCCTCTCACTCCCTTTTCTTGCATTCTTTTTCCTATTCCTTTGGTTGTATATGTTCACCACACAGACCCATTCTCTCATATCTAGGCCAAAATTTACTATGAACAGCTTATCTCAGTGAGCCGAGTTCATGACACAGATCTTTGTGACAGACCTTGGCATCAGTAGCATAGATCTACGTGATGTACAGTGAAAAGTTATTTGTGATTTGTTCCAGTTATGGTATTGACTTTTTATAAAAGTTAATACCCTTGCCCTGATATACTTGTAACTATAAAAAATAATTAGATTATGGATTAAATGGCATAGTGCCAACAAATTCAGTATCAAGACAAAGACAGGATGCAGAAAGAAGCTTTTTTAAGGATATATTTCTCTGTGTGGACATTGTCTAATAAAAGCTTCTACATCTTTTGTTTGTCATTTATGACTAATAAAGCATACATTATGGTACTGAAAATGTTAAAGTGGTTGTTGTGATTGTTCTAAATTAGATTTTTGTAATTACTGTATAAAAATTTGTCCTGTAATATTTTTCATTTATTTTCATTATTACAGGTTTACCCCTTTGCCGGAATAGCAGATGCTGTGGGAACACAGACACCTAGGGTACTAATCAATCTTAATGCTGTTGGTAGCCTCGGAAGACGTACAACTGATGTTATACTGACAGGAGATCTCGAAGAAAGTGTTCACAGTTTAGTAAGGGAATTAGGCTGGGAAGAAAAATTAAAAGCTCTTGAAAAAGTCTATGAAAGTAAGCAGATAAATGAAGAATAAAAAGTAATCCTTTTAATAATAATTTTAGTTTTAAATTAAATTATATAAAACTTGGTGAAACTGCAAAAATCTTATATTTATTTATGCTGTATATTAAGAATGATGATACATATTAAATTTATTTTTAATGTTGCAGATATTGTAGGTTAATTTTCATAATTAACAGTGTCTCAAGTTTAAGTCTTCATACTGTACAGTTGAGCCTTGGAACTTGCATGGTTTAGGTGTCTGGAGGCCTCATAACTCCTGAAGTTTCAGGGAAAAAAAAAAAAAGGAAATCTTGCATGGTAACTAGGAGTGATAGCAGCTACCTCACTGAAAGTTCTCTGTTACTAAACGGTTTGTCTTACATTTTTTACTGCCGTAGTTCTAAAATTGTTGAATTTCAAATCAAGTATGCACAGATAACTTTAATGTTAGAATTCTGTATAAATACATAATAAATTAGTATATAAATATTGCAACCACGTGGCAACATAAGGCCTCCATTCAAACATATTTTTTGGATTCTAACATATGTTCTCACTTTATTATACAGTGTATTTTCTCACTAGCATGCACAAAAAAAGTAGAAATTTAATTTGTACTTGAAATAATGCTCTTCTTTGCAAATTCCATGTAAACATTTAATAAAAAATGATATCAAAATGTTTGCTAGCTATTTCACTTTGAAGTTACACTGACTAGAAATGGATCTGCTCTTGCTAAGTCTCCAAATCTCACCAGTTACAATGGTCCTCAAGTTGCAAGCATCAAAACAAAAGTATCATTCACTGAGTGAAGGTGAGGAGAGTTGCAAATGGCCACCCTCCCTCCCCTATTTTCCTCTTTTTTCTCTACATTTCCAAGGAACACCCAAACTTTAAATTTCTGTAGCACATGCATATGTAGGCAGTATATCCAGACAGCTACAGCAAAATAATAAAGCTGCATGTGATCACTTTGTGGATAGATAATGCGTGAAGGGAATGAAGGTGAGAAGGGTAGCGAGTGGTAAATAAATGGAGGCCAGTAGGCTTGGGAGTATGACCAGGAGCCTGATCTTCATCCACCTTCATTTAGTGAGTTACTGCATGAAATAGAACTAAGATATCCACGAGCAATAGTTAACTACAACGGAATAAAAAGGCCCCATGTTGCTAACGTATTAAAGATCACAGATGGCACCTTTTTTGATTCCTGGTTAAGTGAGTGCTACTAGAGCTTTCAATGGGCCAGTCTGATTCATGGCCGGTTTACAGGTTTTCTGCTTTTTACACTCCCAACAGATCTTGGCTTCTGGTCTTCCCTAAAGCTTTTGGAGAATACCATGTTTGGCATTCTTTGACTTCTTTAGAAAAAAGAGCAGTAGGTTTCACAGAGATTTTTGAGGCAATTTTTTTTTTAGGGGGGAGGGGCAGGGACTCAGAAAGGTGTGGTAATACCATTAGCATTTTGGGCAAATTTACAGTAACAAGATACCAGTAGTAATATCTTTTATGAACTATTAGGTGGTGAGAGGAACATTTTGTGGATAAATATCATTCACGAAGGGATTCAGGAAAACTGGTTAGCCAGACTTGAATCCTGGAAGTAGAGTGCCTGCACTCTGAAGGAGGGGTGTTGATATGTTACAGTTTTTTAACACGTGTAGGTGTACCTCTGGCAAGACAGTGATGGAGTGAACAATGAAAGTGTTTCTTCTTTTTCGGGTCACCCTGCCTTGGTGGGAAATGGCTGTGTTAATAAAAAAAAATTTTATGTATGTTTTCAACACGTCGGCCGTCTCCCACCGTGGCAGGGTGGCCCTAAAAAGAAACTTTCACCCATAATCACTGTCTTTGCAGAGGCATTTAGATATCACTCCAAACAGCCAATATCCCAAACCCCTCTTTTAAAGCGCAGGCATTGTACTTCCCACCTTCAGGACTCAAGTTAACCATTTTCCCTGAATCCCTTCACAAAACATTACTGTGCTCACACTCCAATAGTTCGTCAGGTCCCAAAAACCATTTGTCTCCATTCACTCCTATCTAACACACTCACACATGCCTGCTGCATGTCCAAGCCCCTTTATACACACCTCTTTTGCCTCCTCCCTCTATCCTTTTCTAGGATGACCCATATTTATTTATTTATTTTGGGAGGTCTTGAAGAGAAGCTGGAAAGGTTAGCGGACAAATTTGGGAGGGTATGTAACAAAACATTTAGACAATGAACGACTGAATATCAGATTGGAGGGAGGGAGTATGGGGAAAGTAAATGTGTTTAGGTGATTGGGAGTGAGGATGTCACCAAATAGGTCTGTTAAAGATGGTAAATCATAGCACTAAGCTAAAAAGTTGGGTGGTGTATTGATGCATATATGGAGGCATCGAAAAAGGTAATGTGCCAAAGTATAATGGTACCAACACTTATATGGGTGTAAAGCATGATTGTTAAATATTGCAGCAGAGAAGAGGTTGGAGGCAATAAATGCATCTCTTCTTCAAGTCGCCAAACCTTGGTGGGTGATGCCTGATGTGTTGAAAATTAAATATTGGGTTAAATACAACTAGAATATTCATTACTGTATTTATAAGGTGAATAATATGTTTTAATTCAACAGATTTCTATTACTAGGTCTAAAAACATACTGCATATAATACAGTACTCATTTGTAATTTAGCATAAAGGCTCGATAATTTTAAACATACAGCGTTGTATAAATCTTGTGTATCAGATCAAAGAATGCAAAGTGCTTCTGTTTAAATACAATGGGTGTGCCAGATTATACATTCATGTGGAAGTGCTAGACCTGTATGAGTTGTACAGCACTTGAGGGAATGGAAGTTATCAGGTTTGATCTGAGGAAGGAGACTGCATCTTCAATTTCTTGGCACAAAAGCCCTTCACCATAATCTAGGCACCCTCCATCCCTTGAAGGAAGTCTGCTATATTACATTATCTTCAGTGTATAACCCCTCAAGGGAGGTTCCTTGATGCTGGTGAGGGGCTTTTGATCTAGGGAATTGGATCTGTGCTTTGGTTCCCTGAATTGAGCCTGAATACCTTCTACCCCCACCCCCCACATGTGCTGTATAATCCTACAGGTTTAGTGCTCCCCCACGATTATAATAATTATAATTCAGTGTATAATGTACAGTAGGGCCCCACTTATATAGCAGGTTAGGTTCCAGGCTACTGCTGGAAAGCAGAGAGTCATTTTTTCACTTATAAATGCATATAAATGCCAGATAAGTTTACACTAACATATATTAAGTTAGCAATAGAACTAGGCATTAAAAACAATAAAAAGTAAAATACACACACAGCACATTCATTACTTACCCTAAATTAAGACTACAAATATTTTAAGTCGAGAGGTGAGTAGTATTTATTGTAAGAAGTCAGGTGTGGGAGGTATGGTAGCCAGCCAAGACACCCCACCCACACGTAATATACTACAACATTTAAAGCACCCCAGAATGATAAAATGCATATACAGTACATTTATTACATACCTTAAAATATTTGTAGTCTTAATGTAAACATGAAATAACTTTAAACACTTGAAATTTTGGAAAGTTTCCAGACATAATAGAGAGACACTGTGCTTATGGAGAATGTAAACAAACTGGGCGGTGGCATGGTGACCGTATTAGAAAGTCAAGTGGGGGGGGGAGCCGTATAGCGAGTTTTGGTCATAATTTTAAAATTCTGTATTAGTGGAACACCGTAAGCAACACGCCATAAAGCGGGACCCTACTGTATATCATAATTCAGTACTATGAGAGTACATCAGTGCTGTAAAACCTTAATGAGTTTAGCACTTAGTTATGATTATAATATAAGAGTACATTATCAGAATAACTTTGTACACACCAAGAACAACCACAGGTATATTAAACCACAATGCTAACTTGAGTATATCAAAAGACATTAACTTGGAACCATTGTGGAACATTTACTAGACTGTTTGGTTACTAAAAGTATACTTTACATTATGACTATAATATGGATGAGTTATATCACAGTAACTGATACACCATATAAAAAAAAATATGTACCTGTATATTAAGTAAAAATATCCATGGTAAAAAAAAAAGAAGGCACCTTTTTCACTTGTACTGCCCTTCCATGAAGTACAATGAAACCTCGTTACTCTAACTTAATTCATTCCAGAAGGCTGTTCGAGTGCCGATCCATTCAAGTATCGAACAAATTCTTCCCAACCAATTTTCTTTTTGGTTGGCTGTTATCACTAGGCCCCATGGTGACTTATACAAATAATATAAAAAAAAAAAAACACCAAAAAATGTGAAGAAATATGAAATAGCTTACAGTGAAGTTCTGGCACGTCGTGTTTGTTTGGTCAAGTGCTGAGTTTTGTTAGAGTACCGAGGTTCCACTGTGTACAGATGTTTTGGTGGAACCCACTTCTCTGGCATAACAAAACCAGCAGTTGCAATTCTCAGCCACTTCCCCATTCCTGAGGAACTCCAAGGAGGTAAGTTATCAATAATATACAGATAAGTTACCAAACAATAGCTAGCTTATATTGTGAAAGTTATAATGAAACTAACCATACCACGGGCGGGGATAGAACCCACGATCAGAGAGTCTCAAAACTCCAGACCGTCGCATTAGCCACTGGACCAGCTAGCCACAATAAGATTCGTTTTGAGACTCTTTGAACACGGGTTCTATCCTCGCCCGTGGTATGGTTTGTTTGCAATCGTTCATTACGATTTCGTGAGTCGAGTTATGATGAAACTGGTTACATGAGTTATTGCAACATTGTTTGGTTAGAGTTGTGTAGGTTAGTTTTTGAGATTATTATGACTTTTAAGTAGTAAATTATATACAATCTGAGGTTGAAGACAAATGTGACTGACAATCTAAAAAAAAGAAAATTGCAGACTAGTTGTGAAAGAAGTTTTATGCAGAGCTACCAATGATAATTCTAGTTTAAGAATAATGTAAATAGGATTTCCAACATTACTTATAAACCAAAAAAGTTGTTTTAAATCCTCTGGAACTGAGCTAAGTTGTTGTAAGATTTAGTTTTGTAGAATGCAGAATATAATAAATTTACACGAAAGTTTCTTAACTTATAATACTAATGCTTCACCACCACTGTTTCGAGTAACATTTCCACCATTTCTTACAGCATCCAAGCATCTTCTTTTCATATCCAAGAGCCTGGAAATCAAGGTGAAAGATTAATTAGAAAAAGTAGTAAGAGAAACCTCTATGTACTGTGCTTGTCCAATTACACCATTACCAACTAGCACACAAGGTGGCAAGTGCAGTCTTTTGTAGGTACTGTATCTGTATCCTCAGTCAATGTCATACACACCATATTGACAACCTTCTCACTCCATATACCCTCAGACTTCCAGAGTGCAAAACATTTAACAAACTCTTGTTTTGCTCAAATGACAAGTTAGTTCATGAACTTCCCAGGAGGTATATTAGACCACATTTCCATGCAGTACCTCTCCAGCTCCATCAGGTAGTGCAGCTTGCACATGTGCACTGCTTTTATCACCTAACACCACAAATTTTCTAGTGTCTGGTCTGGAAACTGTGACATTCAAGGAATGATTTTTTTTTCTCCCTTTATCAATTTGGCCATACATTAAGACTGACTTTAAGCTTTCGAAAGTGGTCATTCAGATGAGGCGTGCTCTAGTTACCATACAGAAACCAACGGCCCAAGAACAATACGAGCCTTCCTTTGAGCACAGTACACCAGCAGGATAAGTTTGAAATTATTCAGAAGTTGGATTTTCTGTTAATAAAACTGGGAAATTCATATCTACAGACTCCAGTAACAATCTGAACATTTTTTCAAGTAGGATACACCTATGTTGAAAGTCAGAAGCAGATCAGAAGAGGTATTCTCAAGTTATTGGATGGAAACCACTAAACTATTTGCCAACTAAACTAGCAACTACACATCCCAATAATCTTAATTTTTCTTTAGTAAGCTACAACAACACTGAAAATTTAAAGTCAAACCAAAGTGCATTTGCTTCTTGTTGAATAATTAACTTTTTGCATTAGTAAAACTGTGGCCAATAATTCAGTGGAAAAGTATTTGGTATTGTTATGCTGCTGCTTTTTTTTTAAATCATCTAATCATCTGTCACCAGAGATAATGATTTGATATGCTATTATTTAATTTGAAAATTTTCAGATAGTCATAAAAGAAATAATAAGACTTTTAAATATACTTTTGTATTTAACTCTTTTTTATAAAAAATATCTATCTGCTTTACAAGTTAATTCCTCACCAAAGTTTATGCCATCTGGAATATATCTTATAAACACTCAGCAACATGGATACCTAATAAATTTGGTAAACAATCGGACCAAGCAATTGAGGCTTCAGTCAACCATGTGTTGTTTGTGCACGGTAGATTTTTTTAGCAAACTTTGGATGTTCAGATTACTCAGATGACTGAATTTATTATTTTCCAGCAATAAAATTTAAAAATCCAATGTGATCTATATAAGACTGCAGTAATTTTTTCAAATGCACTTTAAAGTTTTTATTGCCAACTGCATCATATGGCACTGTGACTCATACTCGTTTAACCCTTTGACTGTCGCGGCCGTATATATACGTCTTACGAGGTACCGTGTTTGACGTATATATACTCATAAATTCTAGCGGCTTCAAATCAAGCAGGAGAAAGCTGGTAGGCCCACATGCGAGAGAATGGGTCTGTGTGGTCAGTGTGCACCATATAAAAAAAATCCTGGAGCACGCAGTGCATAATGAGAAAAAAAAAAACTCCGACCGTTTTTTTTTTAATTAAAATGCCGACTTTGTGGTCTATTTTCGTATAGTATTTATGGTTGTATTCTCGTTTTCTTGGTCTCATTTGATAGAATGGAAAACATATTATAGAAATAGAGGTGATTTTGACTGATTTTACTATAAAAAGAACCTGGAAATGGAGCTCAAAGTAGGGGAAATGTTTGATTTTTACCAATGTTCAAAAGTAAACAAATGATGTCATTGTTCAATAAATGTCCAACTAGCCATTCTAAAATGCAGTCATGAATGGGTTGATGTTATTTATACAATTATTACAGTATTGCAGTAGTCTGCATAATAGTAAGTCTTCTATTTTTTGTTTGAATAAAAATTCAAAATAGAAAGCAAGAGTAATATCAGAGGGGCTTGGAGATGTGACTGATGAACAAAGAAAATGTTATTTTAGAGCCAGGAATGTCTGCATTGTTCATTCTGGACCTTATTTTGAAATTGTCATATTTTTAAATTTTCGTGAAATTGGCCAAATTGCAAATTTCTGACCACATTATTGGGTAGTTGAAGTCGGCAAATGGGCAGTTTCTTGTACTCAATCGATAGAAAAAACGAAGTTCTAAAGAAATAGCTATAAGTTTGGTCGACAGGAACAAAGGAATTAGCCGAAAATAGGGCTCAAAGTGGGCGAAATCGCCGATTTGTAAATATCGCCGAGGTCACTAACTTCACGAGAGCATAATTCCGTCAGTTTTCCATCAAATTTCGTTTTTTTTTGGTGTCATTACAATCAGGAAAAGATTCTCTATCATTTCATAAGAAAAAATATTTTTTTTTTTTTTGAAATTTTGCGACACCAGGAGACACCTCAGGATTGGGGGGTTGCGACAGTCAAGGGGTTAATGCTTTCTCACAAATATAATAATGATGTATATTACAATGAGTTGCTTTATATTTCATGAAAATTAACTTACTTTACAACATCCTGCCACATTCTAAGTTGTTTAGCAGAAGTCTGAAGGAGGTCTTTAACTGATTTTTGTTCTTCTCGTAGTAGCCGGCCAAGCTTCTCTTGTTCATTGATGTTTGCCATAAGCTGTTCTCTGTAGGAATTAGGTTATTATTAATGTAGATAAAAAATGTCAGAAAATTTTAACTGATGACAAAATTTTAGTACTGAAGTAAAAGATGCACTTTTGGGAGATCCTGAAGAGAAGTTGCACAGGTTGGTTGATGAGTTTGGTAGGGTATGTAAAAGCAGGAAATTAAAAGTGAATATAGGAAAGAGTAAGGTGATGGGGATAACCAAAAAAATTAGGTAATGGAAGACTGGATATCAGATTGGAAGGAGAGAGTATGGAGGAGGTGAATGTATTCAGATATCTGGGAGTGGATGTGTCAGCAGATGGGTCTATGAAAGGTGAGGTGAATCACTGAATTGACAGGGAAAAAGGTAAGTGGTGCACTGAGGAGTCTGTGGAGACAAAGAACTTTATCCATGAAAGCAAAGAGGGAAATGTATGAGAGTATAGTTATACCAATGCTCTTGTATGGGTGTGAGGCATGGGTGGTGAATGTTACAACAAGGAGAAGGCTGGAGGCAGTGTGTGGTGTGAATATAATGCAGAGAATCTATAGTTTGGAGATTAGGAGGAGGTGCGAGATTACCAAAACTATTATCCAGAGGGCTGAGGAGGGGTTATTGAGATGGTTTGGACATGTAGAGAGGATAGAACGAAATAGAATGACTTCGAGTGTGTGTAAATCTGTAGTGGAGGGAAGGCGGGGTAGGGGTGGGCCTAGGCATTGGAGGGAGGAGAAGAAAAGGTTTTGTGTGAGAGGGGCTTGGACTTCCAGCAGGCGTGCGTGAGCTTATTAGATAGGAGCAAATGGAGACAAATGGTTTTTAGGACTTGACATGCTGTTGGAGTGTAAGCAAGGTAATATTTATGAAGAGATTCAAGGAAATCTGGGGGCTGGACTTGATTCCTGGAGATGAGAAGTACAGTGTCAGCACTCTGAAGGAGGGGTGTCAATGTTGCAAATTTATAACTAATGTAAGCATGCCTCTGGCAAGACAGTGATGGAGTGAATGATGATGAAAGTTTTTCTTTTTCGGATCACCCTGCCTTGGTGGGAAACGGCCGCAGTGTAAAAAAAAAAAAATAAATAAAAGATCTGAAAAAGAGCATACTGTATAAAGGGTAGTCAAAACAAATGGTTTTGATGGATGAAAAAGTAATTTTGGGCATCAGGGTTTGATGACCCACTATGAACACACACAGCACATATACAGTGGTCTCTGCAAGCAGAGACCACTGGGACCTTCCAATGGCTTATCCACCAGTTGACAATCAGTGCAAAAGAGCTGGAGGAGATGGTGCTTTCTGTCTGTCATAGGGTCCTCATGCAGAAATGTGTTATCCTTCAAAACCACTTATTCTGTGGTGAGGCATTGATGATCCACCAGAGACTCCATCAACAGTCCCAAAATATGGGCGATGTAGAAGAGAGAGGAATCTAGGAACCAGGTTAAACAAAAGAGCAGTTTTGATCATGCTGATATGCAACTCTTTAAAACTTAGACGTGATCTCTGAGGATTTCTTATTACTCAGTCACAGGCTCCAGCTAGAGAGAGACACTGCTAGGCAAGCAACCACAGTCTCCTCAGCCAATGTATTATTATAATCAAAAAAGAAGCGCTAAGCCATAAGGACTATACAGCATCAGCCAATGTAAAAACAACAATGATAGTTTGATATGGACTTTCTTCAACAAACCACCAAGTAATAAGGCAGGATACTCCAGAATACGGTTCTGGGGAGAAGATAAAGTTAATGAGCTAGGAACACTTGTTGGTATTATGGAAGTAGACTGTAGAACTCCTTCCTAGACTAACAGAAGGCTGAAGAGATGAAGTGTTTTATATCCACACTTAAATCGGTCAAGATTTAGAACTGAGGCTGGAGGCAGGTTGATGAGGCTGCTCTCTTTCTTGGGAAAAGTAGTTTCTTAACCCTTTGACTGTTTCAGTCGTATATATACGTCTTACGAGCCAATGTGTTTAACGTATATACATGATTTTGGGAGATATTAAGTGAATGTATAGGTACCTGTGAACCAAGTGAGAGAGTAATTGTGGTAGGGGACCTGAATGCTAAAGTAGGAGAAACTTTTAGAGAGGGTGAGGTAGGCAAGTTTGGGGTGCAAGGTGTAAATGATAATGGGAGCCATTTGATTGAACTTTGTATAGAAAGGGGTTTAGTTATAGGTAATACATATTTTATGAAAAAGAGGATAAATAAGTATACAAGATATGATGTAGGGCAAAATGACAGTAGTTTGTTGGATTATGTATTGGTAGATAAAAGACTGTTGAGTAGACTTCAGGATGTACATGTTTATAGAGGGGCCACAGATATATCAGATCACTTTCTAGTTGTAGCTACACTGAGAGTAAAAGGTAGATGGGATACAAGGAGAATAGAAGCATCAGGGAAGAGAGAGGTGAAGGTTTATAAACTAAAAGAGGAGGCAGTTAGGGAAAGATATAAACAGCTATTGGAGGATAGATGGGCTAATGAGAGCATAGGCAATGGGGTCGAAGAGGTATGGGGTAGGTTTAAAAATGTAGTGTTAGAGTGTTCAGCAGAAGTTTGTGGTTACAGGAAAGTGGGTTCGGGAGGGAAGAGGAGCGATTGGTGGAATGATGATGTAAAGAGAGTAGTAAGAGAGTAGTAAGTGCTGGAGGCAACGATGTAGGCAGACGTAGGAGTGAGGACCTGATTAGCAGGTATAGGTCAGCAATAGAAATAATTAGAAGTAAGGGTGGGAAACCTGTCATATGTGGTATTTTGCCAAGGAGGGGAGTTGGAAGTGAATGGTTGTCCAGGGCAATTGGTGTCAATTGCTGGCTGGACAAATACTGTAAGGAAAATGCAGTAACATTCATTGACAACTGGGACCTCTTCTATGGCAGAAATGACATGTATGCTAGGGATGGGGTTCACTTATCTAGGTGTGGGGTGGGAGCACTGGCAACTGCAGTGGAGGGAACAGTTAGGACTTTAAACTAGGAATAGTTAGTGGTATGGGTTTTGGCAGGAAAACAGTGAAGTTCCAGTGTAGTAATATTACGAGTTCTAGGGGAATAGTAATAATAAGAACGAGATAGATATTGAAAAGCCAGGGACCTTGGGTGATAAGGACGTAATAGGTTTAGTAGAAAAATGGGAAATGAGCGGGAAAGGGGTAAAGAGAAAGGAGAGTCTTTTCAATGTTTATTATTGCTAATTGCCGTAGTGCTAGGAATAAGATGGACGAGTTGAGATTAGTTGTTAGTGTAGGTAACATTGATGTATTTGCCTTAACTGAGAGTGGTTTAATTAAAAAAAGTGGGGACATGCTGGGGAAAATGTCATATTCAGGGTTTTAAAATTGTTCCAAGAAGATAGAAGTATTGGGAGGGGGGGTGGGGTGGGCATTGTTATGCCCGAGATCGTTTGGGAAACTGTTGCATAAAAAACGGGGTATTAAGTCTAAAGTAACACATACAGAGTCTGTTTGGATAGAATTTCAGAGGGGCATGAAAAATGTTTTTGGGAGTGTTATACCGTCCCCCAAGCTTGAGGGGACGGGGGAAAACTGCTAGGGGAAAGGAATTTTTTAGGGCCGCGGGGCAGAAAATGTGGTAATTTCTAGGAGACTTTAACTTTAGTCATGTTGATTGGAATTTCTTGACTGGGAATTTAGAATCATACGACTTTCTTAGAATTATTTCAGGATTGTTTTTTGAAGCAGTTTGTGACAGAACCTACAAGGGGAAAAAAACCTGCTTGAAATTGTTATGGCAAACAATGATCCTTGTTAAAATTTAGAAATTTCAAGGGGGAAAATGGGGGCTAGCGACCACAAATTAATTACATTTAGCATTGAATGGAAGTACGATAGTAGCGATAACTCAGTAACAGTCCCAGATTTTCGCTTAGCAGATTACGATGGGCTTAGAAAAACACTTATCATCTGTTTGATGGGGGTAAAGAAGAGAGCTATCAAAATGACAGTTTTTGAACACTATACATGCTGCTCAAAGAGCGTTTTCCATATAAAGAAATTAGATCAAATAGAAAAAGACCAAAATGGATTGAATTTAAAAGGCTCAAATATCTACTAGGGCATAAGAAAGGAATTTATAGGCGTATCAAAAGAGGGTGAGGGTCATCTTATGAATCAGTTTTATTGCATTAAGAGGGACATTAAAAAGGGGATAAGAAAAAGCAAAAAGGGGGCTATGAAATTAAAGTTGCTAGGGATTCTAAAACTAACCCAAAAAGTTTTTTCCAGATCTATAGAACAAAAGTTAGAGATTAAGATAGGTCCCCTTAAAAAAAAACTATGGGCACCTTACTGACAAAGAGAATGAAATGTGCTTGATTTTAAATAAATTTTTTTCTCTCAGTTTTTACACAGGAAGACACTAACAATATTCCAGTTAATTAATTTTTACAGTGGGCTAGAAGAAGATAAAATATGGAACTCACAGTCACTAGTGAGATGGTTGTGAAGCAGATAGACAGACTGAAGCAAAATAAGTCGCCGGGTCCTGATGAGGTTTTTCAAGGGTTCTTAAAAGGAATGCAAAATGGAACTCTGTGAACCCAAATTAACTAATTTTTTTAAATTTATCTCTTCAAACAGGTTTTGTGTCTGATATGTGGAAGATGGCTAATGTAACTCCTATTTTTAAAACGGGACAAGTCGTTACCGTCAAATTACCGCCCAATAAGCCTGACCTCAATTGTAGGAAAAATTACTAGAGTCAGTTTATAGCTGAGATTATAAGAAGCCATCTCGATAAGCATAGCTTGATTAATGATACTCAGCATGGATTCACAAGAGGCCGGTCTTGTCTAACTAATTTATTAACTTTCTTCAGTAAAGCTTTTGAGGCTGTTGACCACAATAAAGAATTTTTATATTATTTACTTAGATTTTAGTAAGGCTTTTGATAGAGTTCCGCACCCCAGACTGTTAAAGAAAGTGGCAGCTCATGGCATTGGGGAAAAGTGCTCTCGTGGATCGAGTCATGGCTTTACTGACAGG